TTGTGTGTGTGTGTGTGTGTGTGTGCGCACATGGCATGCGTCTCAACCAGCATAATTCATCACCAGGTCTTTGAAGAGAGCAGCAGGCTCTGCCTCCTGCTGCATTTTTGGTCCCGGCAGCTGGTAGGGGGGCCTCTAGTGCCTATATGTTGTAATGACACCTCTGACTTCTGATTCTGATGGCCTCACTCAGGCTTTCCATCACATCTCTGTAACTCAATTAGAAAGAGCAATGCTCCACCACCCCAAGCTCCTAGATGTAGAGACTTGAATGCTAATTTTATGAATAATAGGTGATGACAAATGGCATTTTCAATGCTGCTTTAGAAAGATCCAAACTTGATTCTTCTTAAACTTGATTGCGCATTAGAATCCCCAGGGAGGCTTATAAAGTGTCTGGGCCCAGGAATGTGCATTTAAACAAGCCCAAAATAAATGCAGTTTTGGTAGTGTCTTCTCTGCTCACAATCTTCTTTCCCTGAGAACCAGATCCTGCATCCATGCTATGCTGCATGACTCTGTCCCCTAGCCAATGGTGGGCAGACTGAACTAGGGACTGACAGCTCATCTAGGCTGGGCCAATTAGACCATCTGTCCTGAGAATTTTGACTGTGGGCTGACAGACAATGGTCTCGGCTGGCTTCTTGACCTCCATTTGCAGGAGGGCAGAGCAGCCGGTTCTGGTACACATATGTGAGAAGCTTTGGTGGGCACTAGCATCTGCGGCCGCTCTCTTTGATAACAGAGGCCCAGTCTCTGACTTTGAGGTTCACGTGGAGCCATCTCCATCCAGATGCATTTAACCTGGACTTGGGCAATCAGAGCATCAGGTTCCCTTGACTACAGGGATTGGTTCAGACACAGGCACGTGTTTCAACAAGACCTACTCTTAGGATTGTGCGTGCGTGCGTGTGTGTGTGTACACCCCTTTTGGATTTGGGAAGATGTAGACCAGAGCTGGTGGGCAATGGAGGCCACACCCTGGAGAGTCCACAAAGTCTCTTCTGTTCTCAAGCCACTTTGAGTAGCTTTTTGTCACTTGCAACCAAGCCTCCTGGCTAATACAGAAGCAGAGAGAAAAAATAAACAAATCAGACGCAGAGAGAGAAAAAAGCAACCTCACTGGCCTCAGGTGGTCAGACAAGAGTTTCTGACCATCGTCCAAGCCCAGGTTTCAGTCCCCGAAGGCTTGGCTCTCCCCATAGCTCCAAAGAAAGTCACTTGTCCACTTGAGCGCACTCTCCTGTAAGCTGACAATCAAAACGATGGAGCTCACCAGATAGGTGAAGCCCAACAGATTGGGATGGAGCAGCCCTGCTTCAGCAAGACCGAGGGGAGCAAGCACGGCCCACCCAGCCTGACCACCGTGCCACGCCATGGGGCCTCGGGGTTCTAGAGAGCACACTTTGGAAACCCCTGACTCCTTCCACACCTCAGCCTGACGCTGGCCTTCGTTGCTGCCTTCTTTCAACTCTGATGCACGTTTCTAACTGAAAGTATTTGAGCTCTGATCTCAACTTCCCCAAGTTTTCTTGGGGCATCAGAGGGGATGACACCTCATGCGACTTCCCTTAACAACTATCTCCCATAATCAAGGCCATCCTCCCCCAATCAAAATGCCAGTTGGCCAAAAAAGTATGGCCATGTGTTGCTCCAGCAGCTGGAGGGGCTTGGAATGACATCTGAGTCACTTTGTCTTTCCCCAAGCACCCAAGGGATAAGTTGAGACTTGGATGTCCATTTTATGGAGAATGACTATGGAATTTATCACATCAGGCTTGGCAGTTTACAAAGGGATGCAGGCTTATAACAACTCTCAGCATGTGCATTAGCCCAGGGTTGAGCGATCCATTCATCCATCCCTCCATTCATTCAACAAATAGTTACTGAGTTATTCTGTGTGAGGTCCAGCGCTAAGGGTTCAATGGTTATGAACTTTGGGCAGCAGCTGAGCGATCACATGCAAAGTACTTTAACTCTCTGGACCTCAGTTATTCTAGCTGTAAAAGGGGGTGAAAACACTTACGTTGCAGTGTTGTTATGGTAAAAGGAGACAGTACATGGAGAACTCTTAGCTTAGAGTCTGGCAGCAGATAAATGGATGCTCCTGTCATTATACTGTTTTCTGCCCTCACATCTAAGGATGTGTGTTATGGTGCAGGTATCCAGGCTCAAATCCTGGCTCGATCACCCATAGAGAGTGACCTTAGACAAGTCCCTTCATCTATGTGGGTCTCAGTTTTCCCATCTGAAAAACTGTGGCAGCAACTCCTGCTCCCACGGGCATTGTTATGAGGGGTGTTCAAACAAAGCAGCAAGTGCCTGGCATGTAGTAGTTGCTTCTCCATAAATGTAAATTCCTTTCCTGTCTCCTCACTGTCACAACCCACGGTGGGATTGTCAACCCACATTTGGACCCTTCTCCCCTTTCACAGGTGAGCAGACGGAGGCCAGAGGCATTGATGGAGGACAACACCAACCACCATCTCCAGGGAGATGGCCTTTCACCCTCGGCATGGGAAGGGCTCAGGGTAGAGGTGTGAGGAGGCAGCTTTGGTCTTGGGTGAAGGGCAGTTTAGTTTTTCTGTTGGGATTAGAGAATGACCTGTGCTCTTTGAAATGAGGGTTCTCAACCTCAGGGTGGCCCTCATCCTGAGAATGACCCCAAGCACCTTCTTGCTGTAGGAGTCAAGGGCTCAGCGTTTGCCAGTGATCACTATATTTTTCCATTTAGGGATCTGGAGTGGATTCAGGGTCACCTCTGCATGACCGTGCCTCCCACCCACTTCCATTCTGCAGAGCTTTCCTCG